CGCGGTGTAAAAAAAAAAAAAAAAAAAAAAAAAAAAAAACGGTCGAAAATGTCGAACGGGCTATAAAAGGAAACGAGTAGGACGAAGGAGACAAATTTATTCGGTTCGGTCTCGGCGTTTTATTTTTCAATTATTACGCACGTATACCGGGCGTCCCGCGGAGATATGCCCCGTATCCAGAGATAACTAGCACGGTCGAATTCTGTTTCATTTGTATCACTGACGGGGACAAGGACCGCGAACGTCTTTTATTTCAATTAATTCGTTCATGTTTTCGTAAAAAAAACTTACAAACAAATTTTCCATTTGATTATTAAAAAAAAGTCAATATTGCAAATTTTAATATATCAACTTTTTATTTTAATTTAACTTATGATTTTTATAATTTCCGAGAAAAAAAAATGTTCATAGTCAATAATTATACAGTAATCGATGAGGGAATGTCATTACGGCCTGCAAAATAATTACAAGTACTTTTCTCTGAATTTTAAAAAAAAATATTAAAAATTACCTTCTAGGTTATTTAATGAAAATAAAAGTTGAAACGTCATCATTTTCATAAGTGTAATAATAACCTCTTTAAAATGGTTATTTATTTACAAATTTCTCGAAAATAATAAAATTAAAAGGTATTTTTTTTTTTTTTGGTTTTTGTTTACCAGAACATACAAATTTATTGTAATATAAACATTTTTTATGTAAATATAAACAGGAATTGATCGCGTTTATTATCCCTGGAGGTTTTACAGTGGGTTTATCTTCGTTGGACACACTGTATACACTTTTATAGGTCTCTTGGTTTACAAATTAAGGGTGCATCGTAAAAACGGGAATGAGTTCAATTTTCCAATTCGCGAGTAATTTCACCGTTTTATACGATGCTCCAATACTAATTATCGAATTTTGTGTTCGACTAGGCGAAAGAAAATGTTTTGTTTGGTTACTGTTGTAGGAAAAGCAATGAACGCGCCGGTTAAAATTAAAAAAAAAAAACAATATACGAGTCCACGCGACCGTATATAAGTTTTACTTTGCTGATCGATTTTCGTAAAACGGACTTCTATACTCTCCTCCTACCATCGAATTTCCCCACACTGAAATAATCACCTTGTAATAATTTAAAACGCGTTAAGGGCTGTACGTTTCGCACGGATACGTTTTTCATATCGTAGGAGAAAAACCAATGGTGTTGCGTCGAACATTTTTTTTTTTTTTTTTTAATTTCGGATTCTGGGCACAGCGAGGAACGTATCGGTTTAACAACGACCGCGAACAATTTTTCCACCGTAAATCCGGCTCCGATTTTCGCAGACAGCACCGTTTCCGTAAAAGAAACGTCGCCGGGGCGGTGTTCCGGAGAGGCCGGTTTTCGATTTCGCCTCCCTCCCCTCCACCCCGCCCCCCGGAGATTTTCCCGACAAAAAATTCGCGGGAAAAAACAAATGTCCCCGGAGAAAACGCAACGCGACGGGCGCGCAATCGTTTTACCGTGACGCGACGTAACGCAACGCATCGTTCGGCGAATGAACGCCGATGTCGACCGGACCCCGTTCGAAATCGTTTTTGTCGCCGGCGACGACCGTCAGTCGTTACGCGTGTCGACTGCCCGACATTACGCCCGGAACAGCGGCCCGGCCGCGTTCGCGAAGCACGGCCGCGTTTGTTTCCCCCCCGCTTCGAAACGCGTTCGGTCCGTCGGCGGACCGGGTGTTGCCGGAAGCCACGCGATATTCGACAACGGCTAGACGAGACGGCCGTTCGCGATCGGTCGCCGTCGGCGGCCGGCCCGTAAAACAACAACAACAGCGACAACACCGGTCTGTACAACCGTAACGAAACACAATGCCGTCGAAATAAATCGGTAGTGAATCGGCGGGACGGTTTACGGGCCCGCGCGTTATGCGCGGCGTTCTTACGTCACGCCTGACGGACCGGAACAATGAGCGCGACGACGTTAAATTTCGTGTAACCCGCAAAATTTATGCGCGTTTTTTTCCGTCGCGCGGCCGTATGGACTGAATTTCGACCGGAAAACGAGGAGCGGTGAGGCGGCACGCTCCGTGTGCTCATATTTACGAATGAAAAAAAAAAAAAGTAAACGCAATTAAAAGTCCCGACGAATGGATATTTCTGCTTCTGCTTCTCACGGGTTTCGTGACGGATTTTATTTTTGTTGGTGACGAGCGGCAACGGAGAATGTATCGAATGCATTCGAATCGCGAGTGTTTTCGCAGAGTTTTCCCGGAGACACCGTTAGTGTGTCCGACCGCGTGTCTGATGAGCACATTCATATTTTCACCGCGACCTTTAGCGGGCCCCTTCATCGACCGAATGAACTCGGACTCGGCAATTAGAGTTGTTTGATGCGGATCGAAGTCTGATAGAAATTAAACACGAGTTTCACCCGCACGTCTCCCCGCCTCTTAAAATGAAGTCGGGTGTCGCGATTTCGTTTACGCATGGTGTTGGTGTCGAATATGGGCCTAATGCAAATTTCAACTTTCAACCGTCAACCCTACCGTTTTTATGGTAAAATGTAATTTTCAGCAATTGATCGTGTTGTAATATAGTGTGTAATATTATTCATTTCGGTTTGTTATTATATTATTTGATTATTTATTGCGTGACAAAGAATTTCGTGTACTACGATAAAAAATAGCCGGGTGAGGGAATTTTGTTCGGTTGACAGAGCTGTGCTTCTCGCTGTTGTTTTTTTTTTTTTTTCTACAATCATGATAATCAACTACACCGACCAGTTGTGTGGGCCGATTAGCTTGAATTTTTACACTTTTACATAGAAAACGCGCATTTCGAAACGTGTTTATTTTTCTGACGTCGCTACACAACTACAAAAAAAAAAAAAAAACCCCGTCAAACAATGTGTCACCGCGGTATCGATGTTATGTATTTTAGTAATTGTGACAGCGAGGTATAACAATACCAACGACGACGATATGAAAATTAAACGAATAAGACATAAGTCCCTAACTAAAAACAAAATATACGTATAGGAATTTCAAAGAAAAATGTCTTTTTTTTTTTTTACCTCTTGCGGCGTCAAAAAGTAATTCAGATATAATCATAAATACCTATTTAAGTTCCGTTAATGACTGACGGGGCTTTTAAGTCTCTTATATTCTATCGGGAAATATTTTAATAGAAAAACAAAATGTCACTTATCATAATTCCAAACACATTTTTGATTATTAACGGTCTGTAAATACTTTTAAACATTTCAAATACACTTTACCAATATAACTCCGTTTAAAATTCAAACAAAGTTTGACAGCACATTAATAATATTGAAGTATGCGCGTGTAATATGTTTTTTTTTTTTTTTTTATGTTTTAAACGCTCTAGTAATTTGTTTAGTTACGTATAAAACACATTTTACTGATCGAGACTTAGGCATATGTTTTATTTTTTCTTCAAATTGTATACGGAAAATGATTTACTAAAATTCCATCGCTCGATTCATAGAGAAAATGCCGTGGAAGACAGTGAAAATGTTGTGCCAGATAATGTGTAACATAGAAAATGTAATTCTGTAACAATTTAATTTAATTATTTTTCTTTTTATTATCGTTTTTTATATTTGTTTGTAAAAAACCTTAATTGTTTGGTTATCCTAACATTGTTTCGACGTAAGAAAAAAATCGGCCTAGTTGACTACTAGAATTTTAAGTCCGGACTAAAGTGTACCGGAGTGTCATTTGTAGTCCTCTATAGTTCACGAGTCAAAAAAAAAAAAAACAAACAAAATTTTGAGGGGATAAATATAACGCTTTTACATATTTTTTTTTTCTTCAAAATGTCGTCCCGAAAGAATTAAAAAATATTTGTACACTTTTCTTTAGCATTCTTTTAGTATTTTTTTTTTTTTTTTTTTTTGTGTAAAATTACGGAATTTGAAATATGTTTTCAAGACGTTTTATTTCAAGTTTTTGGTATGTNTTTTTTTTTTTTTTTTTATTTGTGTAAAATTACGGAATTTGAAATATGTTTTCAAGACGTTTTATTTCAAGTTTTTGGTATGTCTACATTCTTCACCGCTGTGTAAATTGTCATTAGTTCTGTTTAAAATGTACATTTTTTCTTTCACTGTATTAGGACAATGCATTTTGAAGTATAATTACGCGTAATTCGATTCAAGCAACGACTATTTGTAAATGTTAATCTTTATTTTGTACAATCCGCTGTTTTTACACTTTTTGATCATTATAATGTTGTCAAAGGTCATATATATTTTTTTTCTTCCCGGAGTATCCCCAAAAACCCCGGCGTTTATTTTCGTCGTCAGCGTGACGTTTTTTTTTTTTCGACGTCTGAGAATAATATTATATTCATATTTTATATTAAAAATAATAACACGAAATTTGACGGGCCCTAAATCATTAGAACGCATTTTTCTATAAATATATCGAGTGATATTTGTGCGTTTAAGTATTTATTTTCTATTGAACGATAATTATTCCAAGACTCACAACTTATAAATCACCGGCGTTATCCGAAAACCACTGGTGTGGCTTAAAGTATAGATTCGTCCGCCTCTTGCTGTTTACACATTTAAAAGAATATTTTCGTTTCAGATTCAGTATTCGTAAATGCAAATATCTCATAATGTCTGTATCGGAATCTTTAACGATTTTCCCACGTAATAACCGTTAAATCATCTAGCCTCGGTCCAGCCCAGTTCGGAGTGAAGTAAATTTTCCACCGTTTTACCGGTTATTATTGTTGGCCGATCCCAATTAGTTGGGACGAGGGTGACGACGAAGACCATATTATCGGTTGTTATTACATTCGCCGTTATTTTAACATGATAATATGATATTAACAATACTATGTCGCAACAGGACACGAACGTAGAGAAATATATTGCCAAACTTTGAAACTATAGTATAACATACTTTTATCGCGGTCTCATTCGATAAAATTGTTATCATTATAATGGTGCCAGTATGATAACAGTATGATTGGATACCGTGCGCATAACGGTTTTAGGCATGGAACTCGGTAGAAAAATCCGGATGAGACTCGATCGTGTTCGCGCGGCACACCGAATATGTTACGACCTCGAGCACACAAATGGAAGTGTAGGGATAGACCGGAGTACAAGAAGTGTAGTTCAAGTGTGCAATTAACGCAACGCCTATGCTTAGATAACGCCTAGATATTAGAAATGTCATTTCCGGTGGTACAACGGTGATTCGGAAGACTTCGCCGAAGTCATCCCCGAGCCAGTGGCCTGGCTGGATTCCTGGATGGCCGATGATATTCAAATTATTGTGATTTCGCTTTAAACATAAACGTTTATTTATGCCAGTTGTAATATTAATAATTTTGTTTTTTTTTTTTTTTTATCCAGCAAGGAAATATAATTTAATGTAACAGTTCGTTACATTACATCATGTGAATATAATATATATCGAAATGAACCTACATAGTAATAAGTAGGGAAACTTTATAATTCTGGAATTCTGGAATTCAGTGTACACACGGTTCATTCTATCCACGCCCCTTTTCACTTATTGATCGGTTCACGATTGAGCCGAAGTTTAGCTGTTCTATATAGCGGACTCGTCCGTATCGTGAATAATCCCATCGAGTGTATATTATTTACTATATTGTTTCGAGTAACATTAATAATTAGTAGATCGTTAATGCGCATGGCGGAAAACGTTAATGTTGAAATCAGATTTATTTTTTGTTTTCGTATACAGTATTTTTTCATAGATGCAATAAAAAAAAAAAAAGGTCTAAAATTTGCACTCTCCAAAAAAACACAATCAGCTTTTTTAAAGTAACATCTAAATAGTATGTTATTCATGTTATATTTCACAATTAATGAGCAGAAATAATACAGGTTTCCTACAGACAATGCACGTGTACATGGAAAATAATGTTAAAATAATTGCGATAAATTTATAGGTACAAAATTATAAATAAAGTGCGTAGTCGACTATTATAAAAGTCGTTTAATGATTATTATGGGAGCGTAGCCCCCGTGGGTCTTCGATGGGTACATACTTTTAGTGCCCCCGAAGTTAGTGTTCTAGTCGTGATGTGGGTATTGTTACATTAATATGACGTATACGGGCGCATGTCAGTGCTTCGAATACAACAGATTTCGGGGGATACACGTTTCAATTCAATTGACAGAGTTAATAGATTTTCATAGCTAAAAAAAAAAAAAACCTGTGGGATGGCGTAACTCTTTGCATACAACACACCTTACGTGTTAAGTGTATAATAAAAATTATCAACAAAAAATAAATATAAGTGAAAGTTTAAACAGTTTCTATTCCTATTAACCAATTTCAAATTACCACCACCTTTTCTCGTATTCGTCCTACAAATATATGCGCGTAAGTTGTGTACACGTCGAAATGACATCGATCAGGTTCACGACCCAGGGCCGCGTGATTCATTCGTGAGTGTCGACGGAAAGGTCTGGGCGGGGGAATTCGGTTCAGAGAGTACGTTCGTCGACCAGATTGTCCACCCGAAATGATTCTCGCCCGCGTTAAGGCTTCCGTCTTCTCAGCGTCTTCATTTCGTACGGTTTACCACCGACGCTCTTGCGGATCTGCCGCCGACCGTCCCTTTCCGGGAATATTCGTACTCCGGCAAAACACACTTTCTCGCCTCAACATCGCGCGTCTTACGAGTTTAATAATCCCCCCGCCCCTACGCCATGCATTACGTTTACTCGACGCCGCTTGGTCCGGGCCCGTCTAACCGTTAGATTCGAGTCATCGCCCGCCGCTGTCACCCCTACCACATGGTCCTAGTTGACTTTGAAGTCTCCTCGTACGTTAGTAAATACCCGTTTCGGCGTTTAAATTGATTAAATAAATCTGGGGTTCGGGTCAAAAACGGTCAATGTTACATTTTGGTGAAAATGACAGATGCACGGCTGATCATAGGAGATTTTATGTGGTTTTTTTTAGCGGTAAAATGGCGTATGCCAATAATCGGTATTGCGAGATTTGAGAAGAACAATTTTGTTAAAGAAATTACTATTGCAATATCAAAAAGGCTCAACAATTTTTGCTATTTTTAATCTCCCAAAATCGATTAACAGTGACCCTTTTTGACCTGAATCCTATACATTTTCTAATACGCGTATTTTTGCGTTTTCTAGACGCATTATTGTCGAAAACGCGTATTTTGTCCGCGTGGGAAATTCGACGTTATGCTCGGGTTCGGAAGGTTTTCCGCCGCGAGTGATCCGACAAACACCGCGACCATCGTTGTGCGTACGCGACCGACCCGAAGTTTATTTCCCCGAAGTCGTTTCGTATGATAATTTTTCACATCGCGTGGACCGCGATACGTTTTGGGGTTTTTTTTTTTTCATTAACGAACCCGGTCGCGGAGACAGATCCGAGAAGTCGTCGTCGTCGCAGTCGTTTTTATTTCCTTCACCCCCTCCCCTATATTCCTCTACTACCAACCCATTCTCCCCGCCACGACAGGATATGCTCGGCGAAGCAGTTTTGGTTCCCGCGGTCTGTCGTCGCGAGCAGCGTTTTTTTTTTTTTTTTTTTATTTAATTTTTAAAAAAAAAGTTTCTGCTGACAATCCGGTGCGTACAACGGAAAGTTTTTTCGTTTCCGGCGAAAGTACTGTCACGTACACGTTATAAATACATTCGGAGAGAAATAATGTATAGGTCTATCGTTTTAATTACTTCGGCTATAAACATAATATTATTATAATACTACCGAGTTTTATGACTTGTCATTCCGGTAAATCGCTTAAAACGCACAAAAACCCCAAGTTTACTTTATAAACCCGTACGTACTTCAAACTGCAATTAGTTATTTTAGGTTTCTAAACATACGTTCCGAATGCCTTGTTGGTCCCATTTGTGTCCGTCTTGCACATACACATAATACACTAGGTAACGGAATTCTTTCGAAATCCTATACGAAATTATAGTTTATTGTTTAATATACGTTTAGAAATCGGCATCTTTGGGCGTTAATAGAGCGGGTTTTCTTAACAACGGGTAAAAAATCGAATACAAAATAACCATCGCTTTCAACTAATGTACGAAATATGGACTTCTGGAGTGGATGAACGATTTTTCGGGTATTTTGAACCTGACGCGAACGTTATTCCGAGTGACGCGAAAAGGAGTGTTGACAATGTAAACGTGTGAGAGGGTTAATCGACATGACGTTGTGTCGTAAATAATATTGAGGAAACGCTCAAATTGTATTGTTTTATTCGGTATCCCCGTCGATTGGCGACGACGTTGCAGACTTTATCATTTACACGAATGAAAAACCGAACCGTTATTGGCCTCGGTCGTGTATACTAGTTTGGTATAATCTTTTGATTTTCTAGAGCAGTTTTTGGATAGACTTTATTATTTAAAAGGCAGGTAGCCGATACTATACTATCGATTTGACGAGAGCTCACGAATTTCACTACCCTGACGTAACCCGATACTGCGGTCCTGTATTTTCGTAGAACGCTACCGTTGGCGACCATAACCCTAAGCGACTGATTGGTGTTTTCATAAACATGTTTAGGCGATGTTTTTCCGTCAGTCCATAATATAGGGTGTGTATTCGACCGTTTATCTTTTATACTGAGAGTTCACGAATTTTCGAGCTCTTTAACCGTTTTTCTTGCATACTGTCCATTAGGTTTGATCGCGACGATCGCCTCCCCTCACCATTCACTCCCAAATATACTCATAGCCCTAATAAACTTAAAGCTTGATTTTCATCATAAACGTATGCTTTATATGCATTTCAGAAAATCACATAACTCCTCCCCCTGTCGTTACCTTGGTCTGAATTCACTCTTGGTCACAATTTACTATTTATTATTTTACGCTACGTGCGCTGAAAGTGCGTTTTTATAACGACATTTTAAACGTTATTGGACATAAAGTAGTTCATAGTCGGTATTTTAACAATATTTAAATAAGCATTTATACGGGGCAACCGCAGTTTTAATTACGCACTGTCTTTTTTCGACACGAATAATGTTTGGAGAATTTTAGGAGAAAACTTGGTCAAATATTTTTTTTTTGTATTTTTCCGTAAAACAATGACACCAAATATAATCACGGGATAAAAAAAAAAAATAAAATTGCACACAAAAACGGGTTAAGCATTCGCGAGTGTTAGTGTGTTATTATATACATAATAGACAAAGATTTATTGTCAGTGATGGATTCAAGGAGAGGGGGCTAAGACATTGAGAGGGCCCTCCCTCTTTGACAGTTATATTTATAATCGCAATTGTAATAATACGAGTTAATAATGATTATAAATCGTCGATCAAATTATGCTTATGCCAATTATTACGATCGTCGATATGGTTGATACTTGATTATAATCTTAACTGTATTTTATATTTAGTGTTCAATGTTCAAAATAAGTATGAAAAATATTGCCCTCCCCCCATTAAAAAAATTCCGTATCTGCCACTTTTTATTGTATTTTGTTAAAAGACCGATACTTTGTCTCATATTTAATCATTATAATATTTATTTCGGTTTACAATGGTCAATGAGTATCATTACGTTTTTCTTTGGCGTATTGAAATTCGGTTCTATGTCACACAGGAGTCGAGTATACGAGAACGTCATAGACAGAACTTGTTTAGAAACTCAAATTACCAACAGTGAAATAATTATATGGCTAACGAACATAATTCATGCATTATGATTTAATTCGTCAAATCTGTTTTATGAGACACATTTGATTAGCCTAATAATTGTTTAGCAATAACATTAAAGTTTAACTGACAGAGACGGAACTCAGCTGTCAGAACTAGTCGACTAGTGGATAATATTGTACGAAAATTCGTATATTCAGATTTTGTTTCTTATGTTCACACGGATTCTACGAGGTATTGTAAAGATTTGTTAGATTATATTTTTGTCGAATACGTGTTAGACGCGTAGAAATATACAGACGATTTGTAATTTAGATAAAAATAATAGCAAATCGTTAGGGTTTAAACGGGCAAACGAATGGTTCTGAACCTTTTGCCGTGAAAACGAACTACGAATTTTGTGTAACGAGTCAAAATTTATCCGTACAAATCGCATTCAGCAAGCGTATTATAATAGAAATATATTTGAATATTTTTCAAAAGCTTTTACACGTTTTGGTTTGGGTTTGCATCGCTATGGCTAAAACAAAACCACGAAAACATCATCGGGGTCTGTGAAATACTGTCCCGTTTATATTTCTCTCCCTCTTTCGGCGTGTCTCTCGTGGGTCACATATTCTTTTGAGTAGAAACCATCCACGTATCCTTCGGTTTCTGATAAATCACCGAGTTTTTAGACACCCGGGCGACCTCGGTTTCGACCTCTTATAATATAGTCAAAAGGGGAGAGGGACTAAATAATTCCGAAATAAATCGCGGGTTAACCGATTTTCTCCTTTGCAGTTCTTTATTTTTTTTTTCTTCCTTTTATTTTTAGTCTCTTTTCAACGGAGGATTGATATGCAAAGAGGATTTCTTTTGTAAATAAGACCTTTTTAGCTCCAAAATGTATATCCGACTGGCCACGATATTAGAAATCTATTGGACGGAAGAGGAATCGGGAGGAGTGAACCGAGATAAAACACTTTTTCGGTTATGCAAACCGTTTTCGATTAATTCGTTTGTTTGACACATTTCCGGAAAGAACTAAACCATTCATAATGTATTCTCTGCTATTCCTTTTTACTTTTATGTGAAAAAAAAAAAAAAAAAAATAAGAGAAAAGAGCTTATCGTGAAAGTAAAACGATACATGCCAAGTGTTGCGAAATAAAACGTACCTACCTATATATTATTATAATTTCCAGGAACAATTAGTTTTTTTTTTTTTTTTTTTTAAATACCATTTTCGGTCATTGTATACTTTTTATAATAATACATTTAAAACCAAAAAAATCTGTAATCGATAAAACATTTAAACAAAACGATTTCGGTACCTGACCACAATAGGCCAATGTATATTACTAGTTACAGGTCAGTAGGCATTTTCCCCGCGGTTTGCCGTGTTTCCAGTAAAATCGTTATCGCATTACGAACAATACAAAAAAATGACTATTGGCAAGGTAATGGAAACGAAAAGTAACAACAACAAAAAAAAAAAAAAAATCCCCAAATCATACCGGAATCGAATATTATTATTTTTTTTCCAAACTGGGTCGTACGGATCGAAAAAAGTAAATCAAAAATACGGAGAGAAATACAAAATACAAAAATACAAGATATATTTTAGAACGATTTGAAAGCCGAATATTTTTTTAATATAATATATAATGTATGTATTTTTTTTAAGCTAAGAATGTGTCTATTTTACTATAGTGAGATTTGTTTATTTCTTTTAGAGCGAGGAATGTATTGGTTTAAAATGATGTATTTTTTTTTCTGTGAATAACTTTTTTAATACGTCTTTCGAAATAAGATTTTGACAAAAACCAGAAATCCAAAAGGTTTTAAAAAACGTATTTCGTTAAAAATAATTTATAATTGCTTACAACTATGAATTGAAAAAAAATTTTTTTTAAACTTCCCATCTACAATATTTGGCACGCCCATAAGCAGTGTCGGCTCTTCTAAAATTTCAATTTTCGGGTAATCAGACTCGAATTCCGGGCTATTGTGTTATCTGGGCCGAACCGGTCGAAACGTCGTAGTGGCTTAAGAATTTAAAACCGCGATAGTAGCGGGTGACAGTGGTGTTTTGGCCATTGCGAAATATATTATTTTTTATCGCCTACAACGTGGGAGTAAGAACCCGTATATGCGTATGTACAACAGTTGATTAAAACGGAATCGGTCGGCATTTCCGGCGAGACGACCAATAGTAAAATAGTACAATCGATATATATTGGCGAAAACATATATATATATATATATATATAAGCAAATGCGTGGTAACGTCATTAGGCACTCGGCGACGATAAAAATAAAAATGTCCCCATAAACGATCGTTGAGTGTGCCTGTAAGTCGCGCAAACGTCGTAACGGTATTTGCACGGTCTCAAGAGAGAGAGAGAGACAGAAAGAGAGAGAGAGAGAGAGAGTGAGAGAGAGAGTAAGTGAGAAAAAGTTAATAAGAGAAGCTCGTGTCTCGAGTCAATGGTGAAAACGAGTTTTGGGAAATTATGGAACACTATAGTTTAGTGCGTTTAGTGCCTATACGAATTGACTCTTGACCCGAAATCGTTTACCAGGTACGTTTTGAACGTTCCCGTAATTCGTCCACACACGATAATATTTATTATTAAATCTCGCATATTTACGGAAAAACGTACCCGCACACTGATCAACTAATCATCGTCAGCAGTTCAGTGTAATTTTAAAATGTGACCTCTAAAATTCTTCCACGCATAGAAAAGTATTATTCGGGCGAAAAAAAACGCGAAACAAAAAAAAATCCAAATATACCTCTTAAGAACCCGAAAACTCGTAAGATAAAATGTTAAAATTAAAAATCCTCAGGTTACAGGATAAACTTTGTTAACAGTATTCTACTAACCTTTTTTACGCGTCGTTTACACTGTCGAAAAAGGCTGTGGAAATTCATCTCGAACGAACTTAACGGAAATATCAATTCGAATACGGTTCTAAATTTTCGACGGAGTATATCCAATGCTGACACGTTAAATATTTTGATTAGGAGAAAGGGATAGAGCCGTTTTTATGGACGTAAATGACCACGTGGGTATAGTGTAAATCCACTACTCGGTGTTTATATTCTCCTACAGTCATATTTTCCTACGGTTTTTGTTTTAATTGATAAAAAACAACGTTATACAGACCGCATTAAATTTCGATTGGATTTCAAATAATAGTATAAATAAGCTCAGTAAAAAAAAGTTAACCTATTATAAAGTTTAAGGTACAAATAATGAAAAACAGAGTGCAACGTGGTCTGTAGGAAGTTTGCCCGACCAAAGAAAACAATCATCGAAATCAAACCACTCTACGCGCTGGCACTGGGCCCCTTAATTTAAAAGTTAAAAGTTACAAATTTTTTAAAACTACCCATAACTACATTAAAACCAAATGCAAAATATAGGTACCCAATGGATATTTCGAATTACATTCACACAGATTTTTTATACCGAATTCGAAAATGATTTATTAGAAAATATTTTAATTTTAACCTTATAATATGTAACTTTCATTACAAATTATTATAAGTTATTTTCTATTATTCTGACTTCTTTTAGGTTCTAAGTGGAGCGAAGAAGCTTATGGTTTACAAAGATGTTTGATTTTTTTTTCTCTTTCCTGTGGATAACTTTTATACTAGAGGACTTGCTCTGATTTCTACGTGTAGTATCTTTTCTAAAACGAAATTTGTTTGGGGAGTCGTTTTAGAGAGTTTTCATATTTTTTCAAGAGTTTTATTTTAAATGTAAAAACCGAAAAAAACGGAGGAAAAACGAGAAAATGTAAGAAATATATTTAATATATATATATAGATATAAATATTTAGTATGTTCATTTTTGTATAATATTACGATGTTTTTTTTGTGCACAACTTTTCTACCAACGATTTTGCTCCAAATTTTAATCATAGCAATTTTTCTAAAAGAAAATTTTATTTGGGCGGTACTTCAAAGAGGTGATTTTCAAGAGTTCCTTCAACATATGTGAAAAACTGGAGAAAACTGTCAAAAACGTAGGGAAATCTGTATAATATTAAACGAATATTATTAAAAAAATGTATATAAACCCTATTTAATTATTTCACTATAATATGTTGTTGAATACGCATCACTATCAAATGAACTCTTTTCAGAATCGTTGTTTCGTAAGCAGTGGTTTATTGTTGCTTACAGGTATCCTAGGACGTTTTTTTTTTCTAACTAGTTCGATTAATCATTATCAGAGATACTTACTTTTAACTTGGTCTGGAAAAAATAAATTTTCACGATCGAAGAATTCTGAATAACCCATTAAACGTGGTTATTTAATTGTTAAATTTACTTTAATAGTTTTAGGCACAAATTATATTTGACAAACTAACCAAAACGGTTTAACAGACAAAACCACGGGGCAATTAACTTTGACATTTTTAACGGATCACTGTCCAGCTTTGGTCAGGAGTTTACGATGTATATCGTTTTGTACTTTAATTTGTTTCTATTTAATAATTCGTCGATTCATTGCGGTCGCGTGTTTTTTCTACGGTTATTTTATGCATACAATATAATACGATGTCAAATATCGAATTAATCATTTAATATTTACACCCGTGCAATTAATTTAGATACGCGCATGAATAAATTAATACTACCTCCTGCATCGTTCCTTTATAATCATTCCGAGACGCTTATGAATAATAAATTTCCGCTATTTTCGTGACGTACGATACGAGCGCGTCGACGTTTTAAGAAAATTACGCGAGTTTCGTGATAAAAAAAGAAAAAGAAAAGTCGTTGTCCGAAAAAATAACATATTTAGATAAATTCAACGGTTATAATTTTGAAATCGTGTTAGTTAAACTAAATTTGTATGTTGACATTTTTGATTTCTACCAAGCCGTCGACGAGATATTCACTTTTAGGTTTTGGTTTGAGGAGAGTACTATAGTGGTGCATTATTAACACGCCGTGCGCCGTATCGCCTCACAAATGATACTCAACTACTCTTCTCCAATGGATCACCTGGTTTTATACAACGACATGCAGAAACATCACGAATTGACTGTAATGAATTACAGTTGAAATCTAATCGAACGGTTTTCAAACCTCCCGCGGTCATACAAATGCCATGTGAAGTTCTGAATCGCACGTACCGCATACGAGTGCGTTGTTACAAAACACATTTACCGTGATATAAAGAAAAACTGTGTTTTATTTAGTGTTTTTCTTATATACTTAAAACGCTATAAAAAATATATTTCCTGTAATATATTTTCTTTATTCCGTACATTTTTAGACGTTGTAACACTTTTTAAACGCGGCATAAATGTTAATAAATCATGTTATATACGTTGCAGTATTACAATATTTTTTAATAACTTTAAATTGTGATATATTCGAATGGAGAAACGCACGTATAACGCAACTGCGTCGCGCAAAACGAACCGAAAATAATGCAAATAACAATAATAAACGGAACGTGTCAATACGTAGTGTACCAACAACCACGCTCATTTTTTTTACTCATTTCAACGCAAAACCTATGTACCCAATGGATATAATCGCAAATAAAAAAAAAAAGAATCTGAGCGGATATCGGTGAACTTTTAACGATACAAAAAAAATAAGTTATTAGACGTATATTATGTATTTTAGTTTCTAATATAACCAGGCTGATCTATAAATCGACGAAAACAGAAGTAACGTCGTCACTTGCGTGGGTTTGTTTTTTTTCCGGGAAAAACCAGTTGGAAATCCGGACAATTTGTTCAAATAAAATAAACCGCAGAGCGAGTAATCCGGATGTAACGTCCAATTTCGTACGGCTTGAAATTAACGGAGCAATTTTACTATAACCTAAAAAACTGTATAAAAACGTCTTGTCAACATTCACAATCTAAAAACGTATACGTTTTATTATAGTTGTCGAAATTTAAGAAAAAAATATTGCGTAACTAAACGGCTTTAATATACTCGAATTGAAACGTGTGTTTTTTTATTTTAAAAGGAAATTCGCGTCCGCGACGAGAACTCCGTACGTGGATTATTTTTTAAAATATTATCTTAACGAAACGCTCGCGTCTTTTTGTCACTCGAGAGTAAGTTTTAACAAAAAATTATCGTGCCGCGAAATAAATTTCACCAGGATAGACACCGTGTCGCGTATAAAAGTTAACTCGGTGTACAATATTATTTTTCATTTATATTAATTTATTATACGTGTGTATATATATAAAAAAAATGTTCTATATACAATATAAGAACTTGCAGCGGAACAAGTTCTCCAGGGAAATTTGCGGAAAATAACGAGGTTAAACTATTATTATTATTTTCGGGTTTTTTTTTTTTTTTTTTTTAAGAAAAAAATAACATCATTTTCCAACGCCACGGCGGCGGTACGTCGTGCGATTTACGCCGTACTAGGATATTTTTTGGCGCGCGACAAACGTACGCTATTATTATTGTACGGGTATTTAGCCGATTATATAGCCGTTGGCCATTTTTCAACCAGTTTTCTCGCCGCCGCCGGTTCCCCTGCGACCGATTTGTCTCTGCTATCGGGACATAACTCTCCGCCGTACGTACGCACACGTTATATACCTACGTGTGTACTGCACTATAAGATTGTTCACATTACGTTATTACACGGTACGGTGTAGTTTTTTTTTTTTTTTTATTTTTTTTTTTTTTGAAGTCTGACGGTAATATTATTATATAGACTGCGTACGTTCTTCCGGAACTGAAAAAGTTCCGCGCTCGCGCGCTTTAAAAGCTTGATCGATGAACTTTTTCTATTATAAACGACGAACGGTCAACGTAAAACGTGCAGTGTACTGCACTGGGGCTCGTGCAGTGTCCAAACGAGTTTTAAACTGTTATTAAAACTACTATCACGCGTATATAGCGGCAACACTACAACTATTACACCTCTCCCCGCCCTCCTGTCCGTGATTCGGTATGTTTTATTGAGCTTATAACGCGAAAAACTTTCGGACCGTACGGGACATCGCGGCGCGTCGGATTGTGCGCAGAGACACAGACGCAGAGATACAGCAGTGAGCTGCGGGGAAGAAAAAAAAAAAAGAGACTGAGAAACGGGCCCGAGGTAATGGCCCCGACGCTATAGATGCATATTGTACACCCGCGAAATAGGTTTTTATACCGTTTAGCGAGTGAGTACGTGTGTTTTTTTTTCCGCCAGAAAAAACAGTATGTATATATATAAACGGTCTTATATGGCTTTTAATTTTTCCATTAACGTCCGAAAAAGAAAACGGTTGTATACGTGTTTATTGTATGTGCATACTGACCTCGGCGTTGTTGATGTACCAAGTGACGCGGGCCGCGGGAAACGCCATTACCGCCGTACAGTTTGCTTCTAAATAGTCGCCCTCGCTGTAAAACTGCCGGAGTCCTTCGATCCTCGGAATTTCGTCCGGCAACGCTGTAAATTAAATAGCAATAATAATAAATCTTATAGTACGATGACTTTTGCTCGCCCGTATAAACGTCGAATTGTCGCGATACGCCGACGCGATTACAATGAATAATGTTTGCATGATGCCATTAAACGAAAAAAAAAAAAAACAAACAAAACAAAAAATAGCTCATTATGTTGATTGGCATGACACTGTGAGCGGGAAGTCGAGAAGGTAGGAAACACAAAGTTATTGAATTTATATCTGTACGTTATTATAAACCATTGCCGACAAAATACGATTCCGAGCGAGGTTCGGTTATCAGTTAAACTTGTTTTGAAACGTGTAATTTTTAGGGTTTTCATTTGACCTTAAAATGCATATAAAAGACTATTACATAATTCTACACCTTGTTTTTCTTTTTTTACCACCGTGTATAGCTTATAAAGTACCATTTGTTTGATTTTCAAATATTTATATTTGGCCAAAACATGTTATTCACATAAACTAAATAAAAAAATTGTAAAAATGTCAACAATGCCAAATGCCTATAAATAGCTTAATAAAAATATCTAGAAACTTTCGAATGTTTCACCACGTCTAAAAATATCTAATATAATTGTTTTAATTATTTTCAGGTTGGATGGTATTAAATATGAAGTGGATTTCAATAGCTATACTCGTAATCCTTTTCCAGGTAGAGCGAGATATTTTGCATAAAGACAAGTAAAAATAGCTCCGGAAGTTTATGAGTCTATTTGTCTTACACAGATATATAGGCATTCATCTTTATATAAATATATAAATGTATAAATGTAATATGTATATACATTTATATAGATGCACATCAAATAAATAAAAAAATAACCCAAAAAGATCAATCTATGCGATAATTGTTTGATAAAGCATTGGTTTTATGTTTATAGGAAAATATTCGTTAAACTCATAACATTGATATTTACTTATGGTGGTATACTTAAAGGAATAACTGTAATAGTTGAAAAAAAAGGCTTAAACGGTTTAATAATTTCTGAAGAAAAACTTGCAATTTGAATTATTTTTATCCAAGAAATGTGTGTGTCTCACGATGAAAAAGCCAATCTTGTACATTGCATTGGTAAGAATATATATTTGGAAAGATAATATATAAGGTTATGTTAGACTAGAAAGGGATTTTTCCTTTGTTGAGCTGTTGATTCCGTAAACTATAATAATAATCGCCAAGGAGATTCGATTCAATACAGCGAGAAAAATGTTATTTGTTTGTATTTTTCTATCAATATTGGGTTTAATAAGTGCATTATAGAACTGTAAACTATTATGGCGGACATCGTCCTGAGCAAAAATTAGCCAGACAATATAATAATATCTGATGGTGTGATAAAGAATTAAAAAAGAAGAATAAGTAATGAGGGTAAATGGTAGTAATAGTTAATAGGGGTATCCGAAAAAGGAAAATATTTTTCTGGGGTTTTTGTCCTCACGTGGAGCGTCTATTTATCTAAATTAAATTATGACATAAAGCTATAATATGACCTGATACATTATCTATATGATAATTGATATTGCTGTATGTGCTAGTAAAAATATCTAAGGTTAATTGTAAAAAAATCGTGTCGTTTTAAAGTTTCTGCAAATAATATCGTTATAAATTATTTTTTACAGTGTTAAAGTGCAGGTCTATTCGAAAAACTATTTAAATGTATTCGTAATCGAGTAATGTTTTGAAAACGATATTGTTACAGGCGGTTTCGAAAAACTTGCATTCCGTATAATAATAATAATAAAAAAAAAAAAATTAGTTTGCATACTGTTCGTTCCACGTTCACCCGTAAAACACGTCGCGATTCGACAAGTTGAAGTTTTCGAGAAAAACAGTGCGCCGATACATGATACACAAAGTAAAAAACAAAAAAATTAAGACGCGCTAATAAAAAATATCAACCAAGTCGTATCTGAATTTCCATTAATAACCTTCAAATATTGAATTTCAATTTGAGGTAAATATAATATTTTGCAATTTTAATTTTCGTAAATACAATTACACTGTAAGTATTATATTTATATTGGTTTATTTACAGCGTACCATGTAGCCGTATTTTAAGATAACTCTAAGTTATTTATTCGAAATTTGTATGCATTGAATTCAATGAATTCACGTCACGAACGACTTTTGAAGTTTACTCGAGGGAAATATGAATTTCAACATTCAATATTTGGACGATATTGTCTTTGAATATCATTTATGTAAATTGTGTTTTTAAAAAAAAATGTAGTGATATACATACCATTATATATAATAATAATGATAATAATATAATGTAAGGACAAATAGGGTATTATTAAAATAGTAAATATTGATTAGGAAATGAGGTTCGTTGTTAATATTTGAAACATTCATTATTCATCTGAAATTTAATAGGTAACTTAAGTATTTTTTGAGTGCAGTATAAAAAAAAACACCAAAGCGATGATTTTTCAAATAATTCCCAATAATCGTAGTACCTAAAACACGTCGACAAAAAAAGAATAATAAAAACGATTTAAAAAAAAAAAAAAACAGCGGAAGTCCGTTATCTTAGACCCGAAACGGTTTTTTGACTATTAGAATGCGTTTCAAAATTACGAGGAATTTCCGGAAACAATCGATCGGTTGAAAACTTCGATAGTTTAGTGCCAGTTTTGGAGGGAATAAAAACCGTTTGCGACGAAATTAAACCCTATTGAAAAATGTACACGTACAAAAGCGAATTTTAGTTGCTTCCGGCTACTATATTTTTTATATTATTGCGACCATAGACCTATACAAACTAAATGGACTGTGCATTCTTCACCGTCTATCATGTATGTCTTATCGTTCCAGTATAACAGAGAGAGAGAGAGAGAGAGAGAGAGAAAGACATCAATACGAATCGGATAAATTGTAGAATAATAAATTTCAATAATTTATATTCGACGATGAATTACAAATCGACAGGTTTCATAACAATAAAAAAACTATACTATCATTTACAAATTACTAGCTGACACGGCAATGTTACGCTATTCCTAGATAATAGTGTAAATACTAGTAATAAGAACGATAATAGTTTTCTTGTCCGCAAAAACTTAGTTGTCATCCGTGTCACCCTGCAGGTAATCCGCGAATAACACATATAAAAAAATAAACAATTAGATATCCGTATCGAAAATACTTAAACCCCATATTTTACCCCCTTAAAGGTCGCGTTTTATAAAAATCCTTTCTCGGCGGATGCTCACGTCATAATAGCTATCTGTATGCCAAATTTCAGCCAGTCCCTTCCAGTGGTTTGGTCTAAGTTACGACGGATATCAGCCGGCCGGGACATGTTCTTTATGTGTAGAGATAATCGATAGAGGGTTTTTCCCAACACGTAACACTGTCTCCTTCATTCAATGTTGGCCACAGGCGTTTTCTATCCCTGCACGCGGTCCATTAGTTTATTGGTCTATGATTGCAACGGCCAAAACTTTGACTTTCGACAAATAATGTGACCTCGTGCCGTCAATATGGTATTAACAATCGAACGAAAAATAGTGAAAAAACACAGGCGCGGAGATTAGGCGGGGGTGGGGGCTTGTTAAGTCACTCCGGAACATTTTCGAATCACGGGAAGGTTTATTCTCTCTGGGACACTTCTAAATATTATAATTCGCCAAACATTTATTCGTGAGAATTTATTATTATTAATATTTCGCAAAAGGTACCGGTAGTTTTTTTTTTTTTTTTTTTAATCAACCATCAATAGAGATAACAAATAAAGATGGCTTTATTGTTACGGGTTATAACGATGGGGGAAATTGGTAAAAACGCCAAGTCCCGTACAGATGTGACCAAAATATAATGTAAAAGTAAATACCGGTGGAAATATATTCGTATCAGATATTTCGAAAACATTAAGTTATTAAACGTATTTCATGATTTTCAGATTCTGAGTGAAGCGAAGAAGTTTATGGTTTTACAAATATACTTATTTTATTTTTCTTAACAGCCTTTCTACCAGAATACTAGCTCGGATTTCTAAATGTCGAACCTATTCTGAAACGAAATTGGTTTTGAAATGTACTTTAAGGAGGTTTTTGATTTCCTCAGGAGTTTTCCAAGCAAATATGAAAAACTGGAATAAATTATGGGAAAACGAGGAAAAACGTAGGAAAACTGGGAAAATCGATACAACATTTTCAAATGTTATTAAAGAAAATATACAATGCCTCTTTAATTATTTTACTAAAATATGGCATATATATTGTTGACAATGCATCACTATCAATTGAACTCCGCTCAGAATAGTTTTTTCGTAAGCAATGGTTTATCGTTGCTTACATATGTAAATTAAATTCCCGCCTGTATCCTACTTTCCTGAATTCCCATCTACACCAGTAGCTGCAACCGTCCCCATTATCTTACCTTTATTTTTAAAATTATATACAATAGGTACTTCATAAATAAGTAACGGAGAAATGCATTTTCGTCGCGATGTCATCGTTTTTTTAAAACTTCGAAACAATTTGATTTACTTCAGTGAAAACATATTAAACATGCATTGAATGGTTTATTTTTTATTTTACGAAATTCAAATTTTTAGATAAGACGACGACCTTGTTGAGTATATTATGTGCGTACAATAATATTATATGATCCAATAAATCTTATTTCGAATTATATCAATTTTTTGAGACAACAGCAAGGATTATAAGGTATTTTTTTTTTTTTACAATATACTCAATAAATTTGATCGTGTAAAGATTTTGCTATTATAAAAACGGATAAGTGAGTTTAAAAAAAAAAAAAATAGATGTCTGCGCATTGCGTGAAACGGTGCGTGTGGAATTGCAACGTCGTAATAATGTAACTGCAGAGTTACGGACGAATAAATCGGGAAATGGACTATCTTTGGTATACTCTTGGCCATCGTTTTGGTCGAAAGTTCCGGACGCAAAAGTTTTGGGCTGAAAATCAAATTTGGCAAACGCAATGGTCGGCGGTGAATGGGGGAAATGATGATATCCTGGAGGAGAAAAAAAAATACGAAATCGATCCAACGATAGTTTTATCGGTGGCCGCTGTAATTACTGTTCCGGAATAATATAATTCGGGTACAAGACTGACCAGAATGAAAGAAAATGAAATGTTAGGATACATAAAGAGTTATATATCTGCGCCCGACAATAAATCATTGCCAACTTTTAAATTCAAAACGAAGTTCGCTTAAAATTTTTTTTGAAATGCCGTGATTTCTACGATTTTCGTGAAAATTTGATCTAAAACGCGTGTACAAATATTGAATAATTTTTAAACTGAAAAGAAAAAGAAAATCAAAAATAACAGAAACCGTAAATTGTCCTCTTAAAAAAAATTCCCGGATTTTCTTAAATATTAAGAAACCTCCTTAAATTTCTTTAAGAAAATATTCTACATCTGATGACCAAATCAATGTTATTGGTAGAAAAGCGGTGTAAAAAAAAGTTAAAACAAATCAAGCATCGTATTAAATTAAATATATTTCTTATTGCGTTCAGAATCTAAAATGTCCGCTTACCGATAATCGTCATGTTGGCGTCTTCAACGACGGTCGGGAAGTTCGAGGCGTCAACTGAAACTTCACACTTGTAATTACCCTCACTCTTCCGGCTTAGTGGGTATAAAGTCACTTGTGTAGACGACGATTTATTCATCTGAAAAACAATAACGATGACATAGGTGAGAAAAAAAAGCAAGACATTTCGTATTCGAAACGCTAAAAAGACCATAGTCTACATAGGTCCGCACTGTTAATCAGTATAACGGTAATTTAAGGAAGAAGGCAGAGGCCGTCACTGTGACATTTGCCGTCACTTTCTTCCTAACGATCAATCTAGTAACAATTTTATTGCGTAAAACAAACCCAAAGGTTTGATATAGTTTTTAGAGATAGAAACCTAATTTAAAATGTATAGCTGACAACATTTTTAATGAAATTCACGGTAAACTTTTTGTTTTTTTTTTTGGAAATAATAATAATTATTATAACATTCAAGTTTTAATAATTTAAAAAAAAAATATTTAAAATATCATTTTTCGTTTAGTAAAAAAAAAATAGTAGAATATTTAAAAAGTTATAAAACGCCATTCTAACAGGGTCTTCAAAACTTTGTAGTCTACTAATGTGATAATTGGTGTTTTATCCCTTAAACTGATTTTAAAGGCATTTTTTTTTTTTATTTTAATTAGCATATTTTTAATCTTTAATATTTGTTAGAAAAACGGAGACGAGAAATGTTACGGGAAGTGTTGGGAATAGAGAATGCAAACAAATATCTAGATAAAGATAAAAGACAATTACAATTTCATCTAGATAAAAAAAAATAGATTATTTTAAAAAAATATTACTATTGTTTATATTTAATATTATCTGAAGTTTTATTTATTTATTTATTTTTTTTTTTGTGGTTAAAGAATTAGTCGAAATATCCAAGGTAGGTGTCAAAAAACAATTCATACATAAATTATGATTATTTAATTATAAGTTAATAATTATAATATAATATATAGGTAGTTAAAATAATTAATTTCAAAAAAAAAAAAGACGTCATTGGATAACGGGGACGGGTGCAGCCACTGTTATAAGTATTTTAATGTATATCTGTTAGCAACGATTAACCATTGCTAATGAAAAACGATACTAAGAGGGAGTTGAATTGATAATGATGCTTGGTCAACAATATTTATGTCATTTTAGAGTAAAATAATTAAGTACATTCGTTTAATACGTTTTTAACATTAATAGATAGCATTACGTCCCAATAGAGGTACCTATGGTTGTTTTTAGCAAAATGCGAAATCTGAAATTTTTTTGCCCAGTTAACCTAAATCTCAATTTTAAAACTTTGAGGGTTGATTGTTTTCTGAAAATTATCTAGATTAGTTAAAATTTTATCTCAGATTAGTACTTAGAAACTTGGATTTATTTAACTAGATGAGATAAAAGATGACTAAAATATCAATCTAGATAAATTTATCCTGATAAGTACCAACACTGATCACTACGGCTTCTTTACTTTGCTGACCACTAAAGCATATCGGATTGATAATTGAGGAATGGTTTTCATTTATAGTTTTGACCTTTAAGAAGATGTCACACACCCTATATTTAAGAGATCGGCTACAGAGGTAATTTTATGTTTTTAAATTTTGGCGACAGTGAAAATGTAAACTTACTCAAAAATGTACAAATTTACTTTTAAATGTGTTTAAGAGTGTGGAACGTCTTGTTATTATCACGATAATAATTTATTTTGTGTCCATGGAATAAACTAATTTTTATTCGAAAACTATTGTACACGAAAAAAACTTTACTCTTACCGTATTTATAGTAAGGCTACCAAAATGTCAGAACACGTTGATAATAATATTACCTGTGATGTTTCGTGATAATTTTTTCGATTTTATTATTCAATATTTTTTAATAAATAAATAAAAAGCCAACATTTTACAAACAAGTCAACAATATAGGTTAGGAAAAATTGAAGTCATGATACAAATAAAGTTCTTCTTTATGCGTTGTGAAATTTTGGTTATACAACCGTAAATATTTTATGACGCGAGAAAAGTTGCCGCGCGAAATATAGTTCTTGAAACGACATTACAGGTGTTATGACATCCAATGGTAAGGCTGCTTTCGCTAAAATGTCTACACCATATTTAAAAAATAAGCCGGGGATTGTATACTTTATTTTTTTTTTTGGAGGGAAAAAATGATACGAGAATAATTCTATTGTATATATCATTTTAATATCGGCCTATTAGGTTCGGGGAGAAAGAATCGGATGATTTTAAAATTGTCAAGACACCATTTTTGTCCCCCCGACGTTTCTACATTTGTCCTCGATCTTCGCAAGTCATGAGTTATAGTCAAGGTCTTACATCGTTTCGCGTACAAAAACATATAACAACAAATCCGCGTTGCCCTGGGTCTATCCGAGAGTTTGACCGTCATTTTTTTCCCGATTTCATTTTAAACCACGTACTATAATATTATTTTACTCGAATAAAAAAAAAAAAAAAAAAAACAACGATCGTACATAAAAGACCTGACACTCACGTTTACACTTATTCCATCCAAAACGAACACTTTCATCGGGGGCTCGAGTTCGGGTGAGTATCGGAAAAACTCGTTATCGTCCTTGTACCATTTGACCGAGTACAGGGTGAAGCTGCCCAATTCGTACTGGCAGGTGAGCGTCACTGAACTCCTCATGTCCGCCCACTTGGGCACGTCCAATTTGTACAGTTTCAACGTTTCTGTAATCGGTTTTTCTTTGCTGCCTGTAATGAAATCAAAAGGGTGAATTGGTATATTGCTATATTTTTTTTTTTTTAAACTTATTATTATTTCGAAAAAAATCAAACAAAAAATACGAAAACGATGACTAAAACACAATAGTAGCTATCAGTTTAAAAAGAAAAAGAAAACCTTTACGGATTTTCATTACATTTAATATATAAATGAATTATAATACACGATATTGTCCATTTATGATGTATGCGGAATTCCGTATCATGTAACACATACATTTATAACGATCTATTGGATGTACCTAGATTCGATTCTTTTTTTTTTTTTTTCGGAATAATGCGAAATCGCATTGGTTTAACATTATTTCCAATTGTTTTATCCCTACTTCATATTGCACATTATAGGCGTACACTTTTTAATTTCAAACCGGAATTATCCGGTTTAAACCCAGATTTGCATAGAGAATATGTTTCTGCACGTTTTAATATGCATACGACTTGTATCGAGTTTACCATTTATAATTTATAACGATTCAAGGCTTAGACCGACTCGATATATAGGAAAGGATTGCAAATTTATGATTTAAAAAGACCCACATACATCGCACGTAAATATGCCAATATTGGATTCTGATTATTATCTACGCCGGAAAAATTGTATTGTAATATACAATAATAATAATAATAATATTAATTAATCACTTCTAACGAAAAACGATTCCGAGTGAAGTTCGGTCAATAGTTATGCTTTGTCAACAATATATATGTCATACAATGGTAGAACAATTGCATATGCATTATTTACTTTCTTTGATAACATTTGTTCAATATTATAACTATTTTTCCGTTTTTTCCCGATTTTTACTACGTTTTTTTCCATTTATTAGGATAACTCCGAGAAAAATCAATAAAATAACTTTTCGAAAGTAGCACCTAAGTCAGATTTCCATTCGGAAAAAGCGTTCCCATTAAAAATTGGAGCCAAAATTTCTAATAGAAAAGTTGTTTACAGATAAAAAAAAAATAATCATTGTAAAACCAATAAATTCCTTGGCAAAACTAATACATTCCTCGCTCCGCTCAGAATCTAAACTGAATATGCAATTAATTTCCGTTCTCTGCCCGTTCGGCCTATATTTTAAACTCGTATCCACAACACATAAATGGTCAATCCGATACTATTGTTATGCGCATCGACGTTTTTAGACAAATATTCTTTTTTTTTCGAAATAATGTTTAATAGGGAGGACTAGAAGAGGCTTTTTTTCTTTAAAATAAAACGTATTTTTTCACAAATTAAAATTATAATACGAAGTTTGGGAAAAATCAGAAACGGCGTTTCTAAAATATTCATTTTCAAACGATATACAACGTAAACCAATATTCACTTAAAAAACCCGGAATGATCGTCCTAAATAATGCTACGTCGCGAAAATAACATTTTAGATTACCGTTTTACAATGGCCGTCGTTGTTATAGTGGAGGTACGCGAAATAAATGTTACAGTTGTTTCGTACCTATTAGATTCCGACGATTATTCGATTTCCGAAACCCGCCATCGTTTGATAAACAACGAAAACCCACCGAATTCCGACACGCGTCGTTTACGTGAGTGCCCGCGCGACCGTTTACGTGTACGTAGTCGAAAAGTTTCCGCGCTAATATTATTAGGTACCTATTTTGGTAAAAGGTCGACTGTTGTTTTGTGCCCGACGTGATACCATTCGGACCGCAAAACGCGCGGTTCGGTTAATTTTTCATACTATGGGCGGATTTGTTTTTGTTTTTTTTAAACGCCATCAGTAGAGCCCCGGAGGTTTTTTTTTTTTATTACCGTTCTAGCAAATAGACCGAGTAATCCGCCCTACACGATAGTTCGAAAAACGAAATTTCGATTTAAACAGACATATTTCGCGTATGAATTCAAACAGTTTCCGTGACATCTCGTTTACCACGCGCATATCGATTTCGAATTATAATCACGGGGTTCAGAATGGTTCATGACGCGCGATGATAGAACAACAACAAAAAAGAAAAAAAAAAAACGACTTTGTAGTAAACAAAAACGAAATAAAATCGTCACTTTGCATCGAACAACAGCACAAGTGTTATGCGCTTTATATTCCGCCATATTGATATAGTTTCTGCACAAACTTGTTATACGTTTTTGACTCGAGACTCTATACACCGCTGTATATAACCGTTACTCTACGTATATATGCTAAAAAGTTTAGAAATAACTTTCTTGGCTGCTGCAGCAGTCTTGTGATGTCCAAAATATTCAAAGACTTGTAACGAGAGTACCCAACTACATAATGCATGTCATTCCGAAAACTTCTATACATCAGCATATTATTATTATTATTATTATTATTATTATTATTATGTCTCATGAATTACACGTTAAAAAATAATCAAGAAATGCCAAGTATCCGTCCCGGATATAGTATTTTGCAGCGAAATTTTGTTTGACTGATCTAGCACATATAAATGCATTCACATACGAATTTTATCAATAAAGGAAAGACTTTTCGAAAAAGTATACTAGTAATTCGTTTGAAAATGTACGTTTTTTTTTTTTAATAATGCATTTTATCTCGGCCCGACTCTCTCTATAACAACATACGGGTTTCCGTGGCATTGCCGTCGCTTTCGACGTTTCTAATTTTGTTACATTTACCTCGTTAAATAATATTTTCAAATCGTAACCCGGAATCGCCAAACTCGATTATGACGGTCAAACACAAAGGAAAAAAGAAAAAGGTCTTTTCCGTTTAAAATACTATGCTTCGAGACAATATTTTATTACGATCATAAACAAATAAGGAAAAAAAAAAAACATTGTTTTCGTTTTTATCCGAGCAGGTAAAATACATAACAATTTATTCCGATCAGGTTATCGATCGGATTACGATTAAAATACAGTGTTCGTAAATAACAGCGAAGGGCGGGGGTTTATCAGACAAATGTTTATTTTATTAAAAAGAAAATAACAATAAATAAAAATCGGGAAAATAAACGTCATGGAGCGTTCCTTGGGCAGATTTGTATTACCGAAACGACACGATATTCCGGCCCTTTCCCAGTGGGATTTCGATCGAGTCTATTATTAGTTCTCGCCACGTGCGAAACGGTCGGATACAAATTGGCCGGTGCGTGGTGAAATCGGTTTTATAAGTTGAATAAAATGCGTCGGTCCGCAGATTTATATGTGGCTTTTGACTAAGTAGTAACGGCCCACACCGTCAGTGGTGCCTCGTTAAACCGGCCGAATGAAACGGTACCTCGTTTCGAATGTTCTTATCACAATGAAATGCCCTTAGTTTACCGGCGACTTGTAACTGTCGTGCATTTTGAAAATCTTGGTATTGGTTCCGTTTGAAACGCGTGATATTGATTGGTTCCATAAGAGTTCCATATGTTTCACTGTACGAGAAAAATTACTGAATGTAATATTTAACTTTCAAAACGATTACTGATATTTGGGTCGGATATATTGTTTACGTATACCATTTTTTCGTAACTATATTTTTACTCGTACTTACATCAGATATACGCTTTTGTACATTTGCAGGCCAGGATTAAGAGAGGGGCCACAGGGGGCCCGGGCCTCAGGTCCCTGGATACTGTAATATTGTGGGCCACTGACATTGGCGCACAAGAAGTTTCTCATAATATATTACGAATAATGGATATAAAATCATTTTTATTATTTATGCTATCGTTTTATCGTCTATTTTTAACAGGACGATCATGACGGTAAGAAAATGTGAATACCGTCGATTACAAATGCACAATCTCTGAAATATATTTATTTGTGATTCGCCATTATTTCGATTATGTTTATGAGCTCCTAAAATTGTTTGGCTCCAGGCCCAAAATCATCTTAATCCGAGCTTGTATATATTTGTATGCGAATTTTTGTTTTTTTTTTTTTTTGTTTTGTTTTTATCGGTTCAAAAAAACAGCTAGTTTATACCGAAATGTGTTTCATTCTATACACATATAACATTTTATTTGCATACTATAGAGTTTTTGGATTATTATGGCGTATTTGCATGGTCTTGTACATTTTCTGAGCACATTTAAGGAATTTGCACATTTTCAAGCCGCCAATGGCATGAACGATATTGTGTTATGACGATACCGGGTAGTAATTGAGTACGTGACGATCGTAGATGCCTGTGTTCCGGTCCCGTCTGGGGTTGTTTAAATATGAAACGCTCCCGACAATAATAGTAATCATGATAATAATTGACGTCTGTGGTGTTGATTTTAATAATTTACCGTATATTGACAAATAGACCGTGGCGTCGGACAGACTAGGCATGCCGGGAGCAGTATCGCATCGGAACGTTCGAAATGGATTTACCTCTGTGCATCGTCCAATGTCATTGGCCGGTAACGCCATTACAATATCGTATGTGACCGATAAACTCCCTCCTGCCCCTTCCGCCATCGCCGGTCTATTAAAAACGCTCAAGTGCACTTAAGTTGCGCCTTTTTTTTGTAATTACGACGTGGAATAAATGCGCGAGGAAAAACAAAAACGGCGACTATATTGAAATTCAAAGCACATACGAAATGTTTATTGCTCAAACGCGAGTATGTGGACGAAACCCGTGGGACATTACAATATACAGTGCTGCTGCTGCCGTTGCTGTACACTCGGAGAGGAATTCAGGATGAGAATGATAGAAGAAAAAAAAACCTTCGCGACGTGTGCTACGAGTTTGGCAAAACAGCTGTGTAGGAACAATAATAATAAAAAAAAAAAAAATCCGACCGACTATTTTTTTTTCGCTCTCTTTTTTTTCGTCCCATAATGTATTGTTGTTACAGACGACACTACAGCGGCAGTAGTACAGTCTCGCCGATAAAACTAAATCAAAAAGATTATATCGACTCGGGGAAAATAAAAGTTTCATAAGGACCCTCGTGGGAACGTTATCCCGCCGTTGTCCTGCGGTTGCGTACTAACGTTTCGGGACTTCGGCTCTCGCGCGCGCGTTATTATTATTCTTTGTCAGAGAAATCCTTTTACGTTTTATTGCCCTAACCGCCGCGCCACCGTCGACTCGCGCGCGCGGCGTTTCCACTCTTAAACGGATCGCGATCTTTGAAAATATTTAACAATAATTCATCGGCGGCGGCGAACCAATTAAATATGAAAGATGTACGATCGATAATTTGTTATTATTACGTTTGTTGTTATTATTATAATTGTCACTCGCCGAGAACCGATTGTCCCCGAAACGATACGTAGCGATCGCCGTTTTACATGCAGTGACCGCGTAATGCGACTATATACGGTAATACCGCACGGAACACGTAAAGGCCCGGCACCGGAACCTTATAATGTTATACACCCGCGAATATTGAGTATGAAACGCGGTGTTCGTGCGGACGGGAAAATTTCGGGCGGCGCGGGTCCGGCCGGTCGGGAACCCCGGGTTTCTAAACGGTCAGCGCCGCGCGGAGTGACGGGAGGGGGGTTGATTGAATTAATATATATTAGTTTACAGGCGGCCAGATTAGTTGGCACAAAAGCCGGCGACTGGACTGCCGAGGGGGCACCTACGCGCTTAAACTTTCGGCCGCGGAGGCGGCGGCGGCGGACGAGGAGATATTGCACGGGAGCCGAGAGTGTATAATAATATAACGCCAACCCCCTCCCCTCCCCTCCCCCTTTAATTTCCCCTTCGCTCCTCCCCTCTGATATATCCCATTAAACTTACCGCGGAGGCGCTTTCCATGGTATACAGTCTCCGGTCCGCGCTGCGGAGCAGTGCAATTAGCCGTGTATACGTATATACGCGTATAGTTAAAACTGATGATCCGGCCGCTTCAGTATTAACTCGGCCACATTAATTACCGGCGGTGGTATGGGTACCTGCCTTATATTATAATATTATTATACGCGCGTAGAGGGGACCCCGAGAACGTTTGACAATGACCGGGTACCTATAATGCCGGACGTATTAAAGCTTAATGGTTTCGACAATTAGAAAGGACAGTCGAACTTTACTCTGTATATAATATAGGTAAGTACCTGTAGCCCGGAAGTTTCGCTTCGCCCCCGAAAGTCTAGACTCTAAGCTCCACAGTCTGAGGGACAAGAAAAACGGAAATATACGTCGTATTATTACCGAAATTACATAATTGACTTCTATAGCGACCACAAACTTACAATAAATAATTACGCAGCGTTCAACACTTGGTTTGTGTATAAAACGTTGGAGTCGGCGCACGATGATATGCAATAGAGACAGCCTCATTGTTGACTGCTCAGCGTGATGAGATCATAAAAACCGTATAACACAATCTCGATAAAAATTATTAAAGAAATAACCGGATATTGACACACATTCCTTGAATTTCACATTGATAACAATACTTACAATGAACAACTTCTTGCACATTACACGTTGTAACTTGTATTCAATAGTTACCAGCTATACTTTACTCATGTGCATCACATGGCATAAACAAATATTGTACGGGTTAATCGATACAATTTGCCTTCTTATTATACACTACTATAAAACTAACATTAAAGCTGCTGAATTTATACATTTCATGGGAACACTCTTTCACATACCACGCGTCTCTCGTTAAAAAAAATGTTCTTTATCTAGTTTTCAATCCGACGTGACACCGGATCGATTTTTATTGATTATAAGCTATATCGATTTCATCGCCTCGCGTCCCAGCCGTATTTATTAAATTATTGTCCATCAAAGACTTATCGAGAAACACTCGGATTGGCAATCAAATGTGTAGAATTTTCGAGGATTATCGAAATACATCGGATTAGAAATCTGATTGATTGCCAACTCTAACGAGGAATACACGAACACAATCGGCTATCTAGTAACTGTTTTTTAGACAAACTATAATAGTTCTATACAATTGTTGTGCCCGGCGTAATAATTTAAAATATTATTTTAAATAAGTATAATTCTCAATGTGAAATAAAAGATACGGAAAATATTTTATTGAAAATTAGAAGTCATGGTTTTAACTTTAAAATAAACGATTCGAAACACATCATGATAGAAGTATTATGTGCATAATGTATACGAATACAACACGAAAGTTTAACGGTAAGAAGGAGAGAATATTTTAGAATTTATTTTCCTGTTACCAAAATTTGAAATATTATTGTAGGTTGAATAAGTACCCATAGCTAGAAACTTTTTTTTTTATTCAGGTAGATACTCTGACGAGAATTGTAATACGGTTTTTGTTTATGATGGTCTGTATAGTGTTGACAATGATAAATATTTCGAATATTTTAATTTTGTATTCAATTTTAATAAAAAGTATGACTTTTTATGAGTTTATTTAGGATTTTTTTTTTTTCTAGAAAGAATGAGTACGACAATATAACTATTTTTGTCCCGTCCCTTGAATCACTTCGAGTATATGATTATACCATTGCCGTTCTTCTTCGTTCAAATCTCACGAAATGATCCGTTATGTTTCATTGTTTCCCCCGAACAATATAATAATAGTTTACCACATAGATATAAAGAAAATAAGGAATATAATGAAAATATTACGATTGTTTTTTTCGTGCAGCGTACAATTTAAACAAATACTATTTATTTTTAACCGGGAAATATTATAACTGAAAGGCATCCACACGAACGGACTAGATCGATGTTATGCACTCGACAAATTGCGGATCAAATAAAAGGAAACACTAAATCCAAGAATAATCACATCGTTTAAGGACCAGAACTACGGTGGAGGGGAAGGGGTGGTATTTCCGAACGTAAAATATTCAAAGGCGTTTTTGCGTATTATTTTGTGCATATTCATGCATGGTTTATAATGACGAGAGACACTCATCCGTTAGTAAGTATAACTCAATATTTCGGTATTTTCGGGCCTTTAAGGAAAAAATGGTAAATAAGTGATACACCGTGCGAAATAATGATAAAAATGGACCGAATACCGATCCAGGGTTTGAGGGGGGCCGAGTGGAATACCGCACAGAACGTATAGTATTTCCATTATCGCGTGTCAAAACGCCTAGTCCACAGTACCGTTTTGCGAAAATAAGAATCTCGTACCGAATAGACTGTTGTTTGTGATTCGTGTCATTATCGGTGAACCAGCTGGAAAGGATAAACTCCATTAGTACTTTTTCTTACACTTTCTAATAACTCCAAAGTTAAAAATATATTTGTTTACGATATTGTTATGTGCCATTATAATCTGATTGGGTCCGGATGGGCGTTTCGTTTATTATTTAATATCAGTTTATTAAACGCGACACGAAATACCGGACACGGATGGCGCAATGAATATTCGCTTTTGTTCTCGATATCGGGTATTTCAAACGGAAAACGGGGACGACGCAATTTCCCTCTTCCCGTCACCGAACTAATATATTATTGTAATAATATTTATTGATCGTTATGGAATATTTTAATGAACAAACGGAATATTCGATTTTTTTTTCAAACGGTCGTATGTTCGGCGGCGGGGGCAGGGGAGAAACGCGCATCCCAACGTCCCTCCCCCCCTTCCCCCCTCCCTCCCTTTCATCGAGGTGCCTCGTGGTGGTAACGATAACTGAATTTCGTGAAACGATTGCGTGTACCGGGTTTTTCATCGTATCTATATTAAAGTTCATTCAACGCGCGCGCCACACCATCATAATTAAATAAACATTAATTAATAATCAGCGGAGGGAATCTATAGCACTTTTGTTGCGTGACTACTGGCTCGAACGATTCGACGGGATCGGGCGCTGAAAAGAAAACGTGATTTCAGAGATGACGGCTGGCTTATTATTCGATAATATCATTATTATTAAATACGAAAAAGGCGTTTTCTACGATATTCCAAAAAAACAACCTAATTACTTACTTAGCGCAACGTGATATAGTATATTATAAAAAACATGTACGATAACACTGTAGACCTACACTCGTCGTTTTCGCATCGAACCCCGTTCGGCGTCTGGGGATCGTTGATATTATCGACAATTGATTCGCTTCCGTCGTTGCTCGGTGTTTCTACGGGTCTCGGTAGGTTAACATATCGTTATTGGGCTGTAGGCAGCAGATCCCTGCGACAATATCGCAACCGGATTTTTTTGAAAATTACGTGTCGACGGATACACGAATGGAAATTAAATTTCAGACTGAACATTCCGAGTGAAACTACAACAGACCATTTACGGCATTGTTATTTTATGCGGAAAATCGACCGGCCAATCAACGCGACGAATATAGTGAACAGTGGAAAACGGGAGAAGAATGTAGGCCTTGGGAACTGTACGGTACAAGACGTACGGGCTTAATAACAATGAATGGTGTAAACAGATTATATATATAAAAAAAAAATGTAATATATTATTGTACGACGCTCGGCCGGGCGGCAAACGTGGAATAA